CCCCCCCCTTTGATTCTAGTGTATCCCAGAGTTCCAAGCCTGTTATGAAAGAAAAAGTGAGTCTATCCTTTTTTTTTAAGTCAAACTCACTCGAGACAAAACCGTTGCTTTGAAATTCAGGCTAAAATGAAAGGACAGCTTGAAACTCTTGTTGATTTGAAACAGTTGATAGAAAAACAGTGAGCAAAACACACCATGGATTTTCGATGATCGTTGAAATTTGGACTCAACCCCTGATTCAAGGATCATCAAAATTGAAATTGAAAGACTTATCCTCCTGCAACCCCCACCCCCTTCCCTATATAAACAACATGTGGATGGACCAGTAAAAGGAAATGTTTTATGTCACCAGCAATGAAGGAGTGTGACCCCAATGGACCTCTCATGATGTACGTAGCAAAGATGATCCCGGCCGCGGAGAAGGGTCGGTTCTACGCCGTTGGCCGTGTGTTCTCTGGCACCGTTTCTCCGGGACAAAAAGTGAGGATTATGGGCCCTGATTATGTTCCAAATGCAGTGAAAAAGCGAGACCTGTATGTCAAGAATGTACCCAGGTAATAATAATAATAATAATAATAATAATAGTAACAAATAGCATTTATGCTGCACATTTCCATTTTCTATTTTAAAAATGCTCTATGTGCATTACATTCATGAAACAGGTACTTCAGTGAACTGTTTTGTCTAAAGTAAGACTAAAAGTAGTTGTTTTTTTGTGTGTTTTTTGTTTTTTTCATTAATAATGATTTATTATTTGGTATTTTTCCTCATATCTTGACAATTAATTTTGAGTCAGATATGCTCATTTTGTGTATATTTTGTTAGAGGTGCTGATTCATGGTGGTTGTGGAAGGGAAAAGAGCCATGAAAGATTCATATTTTGTCGTGGCAATGATTTCAGGATTACAATTTTTTTGTTGTGAGTGTGTCCAGTATAGAGAAGTATTCTGTTTGTTGCTCAGCTCTTGCACCCTACCCCTATCACAAACACACACTGAAGGCTATTTAAAAGAAAGGAAAGAGGTGTATGAAATCTTGATAATATTAAAAAGCATTTTTCAAAACTGTGAGCTAAATTCTGTCCATTCTTCTATGAATATGAATCGATAACAACATTATGAATATGAACCTGTGGAGCCAGGTACATTGCAGATTATTCTAAAAAGTATCTGTGCAATGTGAGGGGAAGAATAGATGTTTGATAATACAATTTTTCTAATGTTTTCATTTCCATATAAAAGTTTGAGGTCATATTGTGTACCTACTAGTTGTCATTGGCATGCTGATTTTCCCCCACAGAACGGTTCTCATGATGGGTGGCCAGGTACAGTCTGTTGATAACGCCCCATGTGGCAACATCATTGGGCTGGTTGGTGTGGACAGGTACCTGCAGAAGACGGGAACCATCACGACTTTTGAGGAAGCACACAACCTGAAGGTGAGCTCAACTTTGCAATTGTCTCGGTCATAACACACTTGCTGTAGTTATTTTGTTATTGTTGTTGTTGCTGTTTTGTTTTGAGAAAACTTTAAAAAGAACCGTGTGCTGTGTAAGTCAGCCTTTTGACTTGAGCAATAGTGATCATATCTCAATAATTGGATTTTTAGTATACTAAACGAAACTCAGCCATGTTGAGGTTATGAAACAAGTATATAACAAGCATTTCTACTGGACTAGTGACTAGAAGCCTGAAAAAGCCTGAGGCAGTTATGACACTGAGGAAATTTAGCAAATGAATCAGAATCTATACCCTTAAACTTAATAAATTGTACCCTCTCAGCACTATAGTGCAGAACGTGATGGAAGTTTTTTTTTTTGTAATCAAGGGCTTTACATAAATGGGAGTAATAGCTATTGCAAACCTGATTTTTTTTTTTTTTTCTAAATGTATGTGTTTTACACCCCTTCAACTCAATGTAGATCATATAGGATTAGGAGGCACGCTTCGACCCTGCTTGCCACTAAACCATTGTTGTAAAGTGTAATGAGCATGCTGTAGAGCGAGGAAATACGCTATATAAATGCAATTATTATTAGTATCATTAAACCGCAGAGGCCACATTTACAGTTTTTGCTTCTGCCACCAGGTGATGCGGTTCTCGGTGAGTCCCGTGATGCGTGTGGCAGTGGACGTCGTCCATCCCCAGGACTTGCCCAAGCTGGTAGAGGGTCTGAGGCGACTCAACAAGGCCGAACCCCTCGTACAGGTCGGTACTCACACCAGACACGTGTCTGACTCACTGTAAAGGTGTGGATGGTCGATATCAAACCGGATAGACCATAGATACCATAAAAAATAATACAGGACACAGAACAACCAACACACCATGTTCATTAGCCGCCACACGCCCAGTGCAGTTTCCTTTATTGAAGAGCTCTCCTCAAGCATGAACAGTAGAATAGTTTCCCTTGTAGGGCACACAACATGGTTGCACCAAAATATTATGGTCCAAAATATAATACTGTTACACTCACTGACTGTCAGGGGCTGTAATCCCAATGTAACCCCGACTGCCTGCATGTCGACAATGGTGTTTTTAACAATTTTATTGTCTGATAACTATTCAAAGTAGACACTTATAATTTTCACTATCTATTATTTTTATATTGTGTTTTAAACACAAATGAAAACAGGTTTTCAGTAGATGTCGTACCTTTGTTTGCATGATTATTTGAAACACAAAAATTTTGGTCTTTGTTGTTTAGGATTTATTTTTCTTTTTTCTGTTCCGTCCAAAATATATATTATGTTGTATCAGTTCATAAACTTCCTTCCTTTCTTTGGGTCACATTTTGATTCGTTATGATTATTTCACTTTTTTGTGGGTGGTCGGAGGGCACCACTTGTCGTATTAATTCTTTTCTTTCCCTTTGTTGTTTCTGGGTATCTGTCTTGCTTTTTCCCTGCACTCTATGACAGTAATTGTGTCGATGTGCCTTTCTTTACTCAAAGTGTATTTCACCTAGAGGGTGGTTGGCGAGTGCTCTTGTGTGGTTTGCTTCTTCTTTCCCATCGAACATCTATTATCTTTATCTCCCCACCTTATTTTTTGTGTTTGTTACTCTCTTGTAACCCCTCTAACCTTTGGCAGTTCTATGACCGTATTGTGTTGCAAGTGCTGTAAAACTAAAACTTCATTAAAATTTCACCTTTTTGATGAAAATATATGTTTTTCCTCTCTGTACGTGTGTGTTTGTGTTTAGTGCACCAGCGAGGAGGGTCAGCACATTGTGGCGGGGGCCGGAGAGCTGCACCTGGACATTTGCCTGAAGGACCTGGAGGAGGAGTACGCCGGTGTGCCCATCAAGGTATGGACGCTGGGACTACTTTGCAGTAACCCTTCTCGCGATTTTTTACTTTTTGTAAAGTCTTGCTGGATGAATTTGCAAAGCCAACTGTGTGATGTTTTGCTTGAGTTTTGCTAATGCTATACATATTTTTGGTAATACAGTATAACACGGGGATACCAGACAAAAATATTCCAAATCTTGATTCAGTCATTCAGAAGTAACATTAGCGAAAAAATGGCCTCCAAAGTTTGTTGACCTCCATAGCTTAAGAGTCCTTGAAAACTGTAAATTTACATTTTTTGTGACTTTATCTACAATTTTTTATAAAATCCACCCTAAAATATGTTTTTAATAGGTGATAAAAGATGCTGATCTGAAAAAAGAAAATTGGGAAGAAAGTACCCAACGTCCAGGAAAATGCCTGTTTCTTTGATTTGGTCATTTTGACGAACGCCTAGCCTGATTTCACCTGGCTGCCTCACATATCACCGGTGTTCTATTTGTCGACAGAGGTCGGAGCCCGTGGTGAAGTTTTGTGAGACGGTGATTCAGGAGTCTGACCGCGTCTGTCTGGCCAAGTCAAGCAACAAGCTGAACAGAGTGTTCATGACAGCCGAGCCGCTGCCAGACGGACTCAGCGAAGAGATTGAAAATGTGAGTACTTCTTAGTTTAGTTTAGTGGGTCAGTACTTTTTATTTTAGTTCAGTAACTTGACCGCCCAGTGATGGCGCACTGGCTCACTGGCGATGCTTATCGCGACCCCAGTGCTTTCTTGTCGTATCTTCATTTTTTTTACACACTGAAAACAGCTCATAACAATGAATGAGCTTAAGAAGATGTCACATTTTCATAAGAAAGAGTGAGTGTGTGTGTGTGTGAGGGATGTGGGTTGCTACAGATTACCAATCTCCCACCCCATTTGAAAATCCAGTTAGCAGCAACCTCCGCCTAACAGCAACAAAGGCTTACTTCTCCAGAGGGTTGCTGTAACTTTAAGGCAGACAGGACACCACTGTAGGTTTACTTATTGGGGCTATGACAATGTATATGCTACACCTAACGACATGCTCACATTCTGGGGTCCTAAAGGAGTATATTATACAATGGATTTACTCTCTCTCTCTCTCTATCTCTCTCGGTCCTCTCTCTCTCTCTTTCTGTCTTTGTCTGTCTGTCTGTCTGTCTGTCTCTCTCTGTGTCTCTCTCTCTTTCTTCTTTCTGTCTGTCTCTCTTTCTATCTTTTTATCTCTCTCTCACTCTCTCTCTATATATGTAGGCCTATATATATATATATATATATATATATATATATATATATATATATATATATATATTATAGTCGCTTTTAAGGACAAGAGGGCTAACCCAGATTTCAGGGGTTACCAGAAATCTTGACCAACGCCAAAAGTGGGTATTGCCCTACCTATGGGAGAGTTTGGTTTCGTTGGTGTATATATTTGCTTGGTTATAGAGAAAATTTCTCTTTGTCTTTTAAAGAAGCTGAACAAGGGGCAAAAACGTTACCTTCAACTTTCTCAAAACAGCATTTCTCGGAATAGCCCCCTTGTGCTTAAAAGCGACCATATATATATCTTTATATATTTGTGATTGGATTGTCTCTATTAACAACAGGGTGAGCTGAGCCTTGACATGAAGGAGCGATCCTCCCACCTGGTGGATGTCTACGACTTTGACCCCAAAGAGTCGCGGAAGATTTGGTGTTTTGGCCCCAACAACAGCGGCCCCAATATGCTGGTCGACGCGACCCAGGGAGTGGACACCACGGTCATCAGGGACGCCATGTGCGCGGGGTTCCAGTGGGCCACCGAGGAGGTGAGACTTACTTAAGGGGCGGTTCAAATATAATCTTAAACCTTTTTGAAGGGACTATTTGCCCCCTTCCCCCCCTTCTTAATCTTTTCTTACATTTAAGGCTCTTACCCCCCCTTTTCCCTAATCCCGTAATATTACATTGTTCGCTTATGATGATAATAATATGACATTTATATCACATAAATCCACGTTACAACAATCATTGTTCAATGCGCTTTACATAATAATATTCATGAAAGCATGCATACTCACATAATAATATACAGTTGTATATTCACAAAAAAAATAACAAGAGTAAATCATTCAAACAAAATATTGCATACACTCTTTCTTGCTAATATAAGAACATTGGAGTTTTTTTGGTGACAAAAACATTGCCATGACATTGTCTATTTCTTGTCATTCCAGGGTGTTCTGTGTGGGGAAACGATGCGAGGGGTCAAGTTCCGCCTGAGAGATGCGATGATCCACCCAGACCCAGCCCACCGCGGGGGTGGTCAGATCATCCCCACATCTCGGCGGGCGCTTCTGGCCTCCGTGATGACTGCATCCCCAGCCTTACTGGAGCCGGTTTACTTGGCGGAGACACAGGTACTTTGTTGTTGCTGATGAGTTTGTTGTTGTTGTTGGCGATGAGTTTGTTGTTGTTCTTTTGTTGTTGTAGCTGTTGAAGTATCATGGCCCTTATTCAACATTGCAGTGTGTGAAAATAAGAGACTTTCAGGAGAAGCAAAAAACTTTTTCTTTTACTCGAGATGGTCCTTGGAAAAGGCACTATACAATTACTTTTTTCCCTTAACCCAAATCAGAATGAGTACCGGGCTGTAGACAGCAAAAGATCTTGTCAGTTTACAAGTGTTTGAGTGTGAGCGTTTAAACAACTGCTAGCACTGTATACTTCTCGGGAAGTCAGTAATGTTTTGGAGTGTTGTAAGTTCTTGGGTCTGCCGGGGGTAATAAAAAAGCTCATAAAGCATGTTGTACAGAGTGGATATACTGTATGCGCTATATCAATACAATTATTATCATCATTATTATTGCTATCGCCAATCATGTAGGCCTACTTATGCCTTTTGGAGGCTCAAGTGGCCAAGTGAGTAGAGAGGTCAGACTTGGACTTAGTCAATTTAATGTCAAGCAGTTATGGTGACACTGGGTGTTATTGTGTGGTCACTGAGGTGTGTCCTTGAGCAAGAAAAAAGAACAAACAAACAAATCAGGGCGCTGCTTGGTGGGGATCAGCAATGGCATATTTGTAAGAATTGTCTGCGCGGGTGTAATATTGTGTATTTAGTATTATTTGTATGCACGTATATATATATTTGGATGTTTAATTATAGTATTTATGTATACACTATGTATGTTTACCATATAACCCCAGTCCCACACGGGGAACAATAGAACAATAGAATGTAATTTAACCCTATCCATACGCCCTAGAGTTATTTTGTACCCCAGGGTTGTATTCTTCACATTTTAAAATACTTTTAGTTTTAGTACGAAGATCTCTTTGAAACTTTCAGTATTTCTCAAAAAATCATTTTGACAGACTGTTATGCAAAGTGTACGGATCAGATTAACAAGTAAATTTCCTCGTTGGAAAGTGGTGGCACAGAGTTCCCCATGTCGTATGGTTACAATAGTAAAACACGACGTACGGATAGGGTTAATTTAGTTTAATTTAGTTATAATTTTACTTGCAATTCCCCCCCTCCTCCAGTGTCCGGTGTCAGTGATGGGCAATGTGATGAGCGTGTTGTCTCGACGACGCGGCGTCATGGTGGAGCAGATACACCACGCTGGGGCTCCTCTCTGCACCATCAAGGCTCACCTACCTGTGCACGAGGCTTTCGGTAAGATCATCATCATCATCCGGTGCCTTGCCGACTGTCATGGGCGATCATGGACCTCCACATCACTCTGTCTTGTGTTGTGGCAATGGTGTCTGTTGTTCTTGCTTCTCCTAGCCAGGTTGCCATCTTGTCCAGTATCTTTTCCCTCTGTCTGCCTCTGCCTCTCTGTCCATCAAACTTGCCTGTTGTTACAATATTCTCCAATGCTTCTTTCCGCATTTTGTGTCAGAAGAAATTTGCCTGTCGCTTTTTTATATTCGTTATAAGCTGTGTCTTCTGCAATTTGCTTCGGTAAGATCGCACGCCGACCTTTCTTGGGTGAAGAGTTGTAGTTGTAGATAGCATTGTGTCTGCTCAGCTGCTTGGAAGTGGAACTCTTTCTTCAGTTCACTCATGATAATTTACAGTTTTAGTAAGAGTTTTACAGCACTTTCAATACAAATGAGGTCATTAAAAAAAGAAATGTACCGGTAGGTATTTTTATGTTCCCCGTAAGACTAAATGCATTTGACAGTGACAGCTCTTTCAAGGTGAACAGCCGCAATTCAACTTTTTCACTTAATGACTAAATGCTTTTTGTTTTTTACTATGTTGTAGGGTTTTTGGAAGAGCATAACTGGGTTAAAGTTTCAGAAACACTTAATCTGTTGGGTTTTTTTTTTATTTTGATTTTTTTCTTTGTCATAAAACTTTTGGAAGAGCAGAAAGGGGTTATGTTAAGTTTCAGAAACATTCCACAATCATGAAAAAAAAAATTTTTTTTCTTCTTTGTAGGACTTTCACGGACGACTGTTTAGTTAATTTTTTTAGGGCTTTTTTCGTTCTAGGATTTTCTGAGAGCTTATTTCTTCACTGTAATATTTTCAGATGGACTCAATGTTTTTTTGTTTTTTTTCTTCAATGTAGGATTTTCACAGATGACTTCATTTTTTTTTTCTTCACTGTAAAAATTTTCAGATGATTCAATGTTTTGTTTTTTTTCCTCGCTGTAGGATTTTCAGACTACATAATATTTTTGTTTTTTCTTCAAAGTAAAATTTTCAAATAGACTCCCATGTTTTGTTTTTTCTTCGATGTAGGATTTTCACTGACGAACTCAATGTTTTGCTGGGTCTTTTCTTCGATGTAGGCTATAATTTTCACAGATTCAATGTTTGTATTTTTTCTTTAACTTCAATGTAGGATTTTCTGACGGACTCAATGTCGTTTTATTTTTCTCGATGTAGGATTTTCAGACAACTTAACTTTCTGTTTTGTCTTCGATGTAGGATTTTCACAGACAAACTCAGTGTTTTGTAGGTTTTTTCTTCGATGTAGAATTTTCACTGATGGACTCAATGTCAATGTTTGGTTTTTTTGCTTGCTATAGGATTTTCGGAGGAGCTCAAGTCCCAGACGAGTGGCCAGGCTTTCCCTCAGTGCATCTTTGACCACTGGCAGGTGATGCCCGGCGACCCACTGACCCCTGGCACCAAGGCGGGGGATGTGGTGGCCGCAGTCCGGCAGCGTAAGGGACTGGTCGTCTCGCTGCCACGCCTGGACAGTCTGCTGGACACGCTGTGAACAACACAGGACACGCTGTGAACAACGCAGAACACGCTGTGAACAACACACACCACAGCAGATTTTTTTTTGTCTTTACAAAACAATTTTTTCTTTTTGTTTAGTGTTTTATTGTATCTTTTGTTTTGTTATATTGATTTGACTTTGTATTTGTGAATGAAGGAAAGAGGTAACTTACAGAATCTTGTTTTGTTTTTTTCAATATATTCCTTTCTAAAAATTTAGATATTGGGGGTTTTTTTGTGTCTGTTTTTGTTTTTTATTTAAGAATTTTGTTTTTGTAGTTATGAGTGTTAGAAAGAAACAGCTGGGTACATTTTGTGATGATTTTGATCTATTTTCTATAGTAATAAATTAAAAATAATGACTGTGATGCCTGGTATATTGGGAAATGTAATTTATATCAAACTTGTCTGTGATTTTTATTTTAGCAGGAAGATGTTCAACTGGATCTAGCATACCCATTTTTGTATGACTATCTAGCACATCAAAAAGAAAGATTCAAAATAAAGAATAGATAATAGAAATATATCTTTCACTTTTCTTTAATCATTCCTCAATTATTGTTCTAATTTTTATTTTTTGTTTTGACTTGCTTTGAGAATTTGACACACAAAAGTTGACAATATCGTGTAACGCTTTTTCAGTCTCTTCTCTCCTCTCCATTTTTCCACTCATAGACTCATCATACCTGATGAATTTCAAAACTTTTTAACATCCCCTTTGACACTACAATTTAGATCATTGAGGAGGCGGGCTTTGGATCAGGCCTGTCAGGGCCAACCTCGACTGAGAGGGACACAATATCCTAGCAGAAAGACCAAGTTACTCGATAAAAATTTGTCCTCTCTCAGGAAATGCGCTCGGGTCTCCTGCCTGCGACAGAGAGGCACCTAACCTCTACACTTTAGACGCCCATTTAATGGGCCATTATAAGAGTTTCAAGATAATGTGAGATTCTATCCAAGCCAGTTGGAGGAACAAACAGCAGCAGGAGTCAGTCTACAGGCTTTGAGCTTCGAGGCAGCACCAAAATGAGAGGAAATCTTCCAAGAATGAGCAAAATTAGCAAAATGTTTGCTCCACTCAGGGTATTTTTTTACATGTAGGGTTCTTTTTTAACACCCCCATCAACATAATTTCATCATATAGGAGGCGGGCTTCTGACCCTGCCTGTCAGGGCTAACCCAGGCTAAGAGGCATACAACATCCCAGCAGAAAGACTGAGATATTCGATAAATATTTCCTCCCCAGTCAGGAATTTAGTTTTAGTAGAGATTTTACGGCGCTCGCAACTGCATAAGGTCATATGAGCGCCAGAAGATTAGAGGTGTTACAAGAGAGTAACAAACATAAAAAAGAAGAAGGGGGAGATAAGGACGATAGATGTTTGATAGAAAAGAAGGAGCAAACCACACCAGAGCACCCGCCAACCACCCACTCAGACTTCGGTCGTCTGTGTGTGACAATAAAGTGCCTTATCGCTACACCACAGACGCCGGTCAATCCAGGTTTGAACTTCAACTTCAGCCTCTGAAACCATCACAGTTTTACCCCAGGTGACTGATTCTACTAAACTCGAGTTTGAGTAAACAGAAGTGCATCAAAAGAATAAGTCATATGCCAACACAGACAGAATTAATAGATGGAAAGTTTTCGTTTTAGTAAGCATATTAAGGCACTTGCAACACATTAGGTCATTTAAGTGCAGAACATTAGAGGTGTTACAAATGAGTAACAAACGCAAGAAAGAAGTAAGAGAGACAAGGACGATAGATGTTTGATTGGTAAGCAAAAGCAAAACACACTAGAGCACCCGCCAACCACCCACCAATTCGTCGTGAACCAGGAACATCCCCACATCCAAACTACAACAAAGACAACAGCAGAACACTTGTTCAAGGTGTTGATGCAAATATATTTTTGTAGCTTTCAGTCACAAAAAGTGGCATTACAAAATACAACTCTGTAAAGAAACAAGCCAAACTGCCACAAACAACAGCGTCTCTACAGTCACACAGTTCAGTGGTCACAAAGCAAACATATCTCGTGATCAGCCTCACTTCAAAAAACAACAACACACACAACTTCTGCTCTGTGATGAGGTGCGAAAAAACACCATGTGAACCAACGATAGAGGCTCCATAAAGAGGAAGGGGGAAAAAAACAACGTCGCAACAAATGTGAGGCATGCTGACAAAATGAAGTTACTTCTCATTATTCATCAATTTTCATCCCCTGAAAATCGACAGAGGGGACAAATTTGTAAGAATTTTAATTAACTGACGACATTTTCATCCACTTTAACATGTTTTTTTTAATCATTTCGTACTATACTTAAGAAATTGTACAAACCCAACGTACTGTCAATTTGATGCATCTATGAGCTAAAATCAAAGAAATACTGGTAACTCATTTTGTCAGCATGCCTCACAAATGAAAGGCTTAAAGACGTCGTAAAAGTAGTAGAACCCTAGAGGAAAGACATTTAGATCTACAAGTGTGGCAAGGAGGTGCTGAGATGAGCTGCTCTCTCGTCCGTCCGATCAGAACCACCGCTAGTCCGGTCAGGTGAGGACTGAACTCTCCCAACAAAATCCTGTGCTTTCACGTTAATTAAGTGAGCAGAGCACCATGTACAAGGACCTGAATTATGCAAAACATGCACCAAGGACTTGGGAGTAAAAAGGAAATCTGGAAACATCCAGGAGAAGAGCCACCTCTGCACTTTCATTTCATCAATTGTAACGAGACATTTCAAATACCAAATGAATATATACAAGCAAATTTTGTCAAACATACTTTAAATGAAAGTTCATAGCAAGACTTACCATACCAGCAATTTTACGTATTATATCATGTTACCTTAAACTATGTTCAACTAATAAATGCATTCTTCTTGTCTCCAAAAGTAAGTTTTGGACATTTATTCAACAAGGACAGCGTACGTCCAGTGACACTAAAGTCACCAAAGCCACAATGACGTAACTCTGCAATAGAAATTTCAACAACAACCAAAACATTTAGGACTTTGGAGGAAATTTCTTTGCTTTACACATAAATATATTTTGGTCACAATACACCAAAAAGGAGCAAAATACAGGGCACATGAAGAGTGAACCAGAAAAAGGTATTAACACTTCTGTCCCTTCATATTTTTCCTTCAACTTTCATTCCAACAGTGGTTTAGTTTTCTTGTACAACCAGCCACTTTGTCAACAGTACAACACCCCCTCCCCCCATTCAAACCAGTGTGGGACCAATAAAAGATACTGGTACAGGCACCCTCACCTGAAGATTCTGAGCTGAGAGCTACAAGTATTTCGTCGGACAGCTGTTCACAAGTGCTAAGCCCAAAGTGTTGAATTTTTAAAAAATTGCAGTTCCTTAATCTGAGAGATCAGCTGCATGTGCTCAAGAAATAAAAAATAAAATTCAAATTTAAAAAATTGAAAGTGAGAAGAAAAGATACATAAATTTAGTTTAATTGTTAAAAAGAATGAAACCATTTTTTCTTCTCACCTGAAAAATTTTGTTTTTTGGGCTTACAACATTTGAACAGCTAGCCCTGCGACTCCTTCTTGCAAAGACACAAGACCTATGTCAAAGCCAAACGTGGAAGGAACTACCAACGTGCCAATGCTTCATGCACGAATTATTTGTCTCTGCCCCTAAGCAAACTTTAACGACATTAATACAATCGTGTAGTGCAGAAAAGAAAAAAAAGATTGTTTGGAAGGAAGTACAGGGAATTGGCACAGGCCTCTAATACCCCGCATTGTGAATACAGGAACAACACCATAGGATTCGTACCTCATTTCCCTTCAACTTGAAAAGAAAAATATTAGTATTCATATTGCATTCACAAACCGCAGAAAAATTATTAGCAACCATTTGAAACTTTTCACTAATACAAGAGTTGAAGACACACAGGTGATGGGCGACAAAACCGTTTGTTCTATGGTGAGAGACACAAAGCTCACATCCAACAAAAACTTGTACATTTTCAACACTCTGAGAACAGACAACTAGAAACCAATCAGACTGAGGTCTATTTCAGTTTTTTTTTAAAAGAAGTTCAAATCGCTCTAAAAAATATCAATTCAATAGCAAATGACACCCCCCCCCCCCTTTATTCCAATTATTCCCTTAATTACAAGCTCGTCCAATTCTCCGTCAGAAAAATCTCAAAAAGTATCAACCCTGATATCAGCACCACACAGAATTAAGAGTGATTTTTCTATTAGGGTCTCAAAATGGTTCGACCCGACCTTATACCCACATATCATGGGACAAGAGAAAAACTAAGCTGAGAGGTTTCCCTGTGAGAACCCAGACTAACCTTTCCCTCACAGCCAGAGCCTGGGGACTAGGAGCAAAAGGCCTGCCTTAATGAATTTTCAAATGTCATAGAAGAAAAATTTTGGTCACCGTTGTTAAACCCAGCACTGCTAAATTCAGATCGTACAAGAGGCAGGCTGCTTTGACCCTGCTTGTGAGAGCCAACCTGGGCTGAAAGGGAGACAGCATCTCAGCAGACTGAGAGAGACACTAGATAAAAAAACTTAATCACTTTGAATCAAACTCGTGTCTTCCACATGCACTGGTGAAGAACCAAACCGCTATACCAGACGCAAGTGAATGCATTTGCTGAACACTGGGTACGAAGAAAGCATCTAAAGTGGGATGTTTAACCACTAAGCAATTTCCCACCTCTCCAGTAGGTGCAAAAATTGTTTTTTTAATCCCTTGATAGAAATATGGATTTAAATTCAAGGAGTGAAACTTGAGGAAAATTTAGCAGTCTGACAACCATGAAGGGACGGACAGCCTCTCTTTTTAACCCTCACGTACGAGCACACACACACACACACACATACACACAAATGCACTAACATACAGTGACAATGGCACTCTTATGTGGCATTATACACAATGTGATACACTCACTAAGTCTACTAATCCCAAACATATAAAGACACGTCACACATCCTCTTCGACCAACTTCCTCAACGACAAAGGAATGAGTTTTTTCACTAAAAAAAATGAAAGAAAGAACACAAAGAAATACACTATCTCTTCCATGAGACCACACATTCTCTCAGAGTTTTGAGCCATTACATATAGAGGTGTGAGTGAGGAGACAACTCTAAACATTGGAGCCTCTAGCGACAGTAAGACGAAAACAAAAGAAAAGATGAGCATTTAAAACAGAGACTGGTGGAAGCATAATGTGTAGTGAAAGGAAATAAAGAAGGCAGATGTGAGTGGGGGAGACAAAAAACAAACAACACGACTTTAGAAAGAAAAAAAAACTGACTGCTTAGTGGACAACTCCGCCATAGACGCCATTTTGAAAAGTGTAACGTACGACAGAGTCTTACACTGAGCAGTCGAAATAAAGAAGGATTTCCGGAAATGTCTTTCTTTTTTTTTTTTCTTCCATTTATGAAACAAAGCAATAAGCTTAGTTAGTAGAATGGTATGGTGAGGACAATATGCTCATCAAGAAAAAAGAAAACCCAATGCTGGTAGGTATTGTGCTGCATGTAAGTCAACAGGATGCAACAACACATAAATTTGACAGCAGATTTCAAAACAAACATGTACAGTCTAGCACGTACATAGCGAAACATGCACAAGGCCAACAGATTTACAGGTCCCACATGTTTTCTTACTTGTATTCATTCTTCTCATTTAAAACATGTAGAAGGCGAAATTCTTACATAAAAAGACAAGATTTCCACGCCCCAACCATTCCACTATGTGCGTGCTAGACTTCATCTTGCTCATGAGGATAAAGGACAATCAGTCAGTCATTTATAACAAAAATAGAGAAACTGAAGCACATTCAGGTTTCAGTTAGTAGTGCATACATGGTAGTCATAGATATGATGTAGACATACACAGACAACAACAGGAAACTGAGCAGGCACGGACTGAGACTTCGATCATTGTTCAACTGTTCAGATGTACTACGCCTAACATTTTGATTATTTTTTTCATTGCAGTTTATTCGTTGTTTGTTTTCATAAGTGTTTTACGGCACTTGCAATACAATAAGGTCATATAAGTGCCGAAGATTAGAGTAACAAACGCAAAAAAGGGAGTGGAGATAAAAGACGACAGATGTTTGATAGGAAAGAAGACGCAAACCACACCAGAGCACCTGCCAACCAGTTTATTCATCTGTGGTATCGGTTGCATGTGCTCAAGAAATACTTTCTCTAAATGTTTGGAAAAAAAAGCAGACCAAAACAGATGCACAAAGCAGGGGTACAACTGGTAAAAGAACGAAATAATTTTTTTCCCCTCTACAAAAAAATTTGCTTTCCGGACTCAGTACATTTGAACAGCTCTCCGAAGCCACAGAGCCGCGCCGCACAAGTGTCAGGCGAGAAAGATCACAAGGCAGAGGCTACTGATGAGCTAATAATGAGTGAGATTCATTGATCCAGGACCCAGACTATTTCATTATATCAATATCCACAACAATTCACATATGCTCAACATAGAGCCGGAGCCCCCATAGCTTGATAAGCACGCAAACCTCCAACTATCATATCATCATATTGCCGAGCCAAAACTTGAAAATGAAAGCCTTTCTTTATGAAGCTTAACATTTCCACCAGCCTCATTTTGATTACTTTAAAACATATATTCTGAAAACAGTATATCTTTCAAAATATTTTCTACTTTAGCAGTGCAAACAACTCCGAAAGAAGTTAATTACACCACTCCACATATACAACAACTCATGACAGGGGGAAAACATTAAATTCTACGGACCTGTACACCATAACTCAACCTAGTACCCTCACACAACCATCACTGGTACTCCCAATCATCCACCATACCACCAAAAAATACTATTGCTTCTACGTAAAAAAAAATAACAAAAAAACAACAAAAAAACAGCAACACATCATTAATTTTTCAAAAGGCAAACACAAGTGACTGAATTCTATTTTTGCAAGTCTGAAGAACAGTGGCAGTGAGTGTTGAATTGTGAGCAAGCTGTAAAAAAACAATGGCCAATCAATCTGATTAAGGAATTACGTCAAATCAGATCCCGACACGTGTACGCATCAATCTCAATCAGAAGAAGAAAGACAAAACCCAAATCCGCTTCCTCCGTGTTTCTGGGCACAGTGCAACATAAAGTGTAACGGGCAGGAAAGACTGGTGTGCTTTGTTGTGTTATCCAAAGAAAACAAATCCCATCCACGGAAAACAAACAAATCTCTGAAATTATCATCTGGATAGCGTGGACATAAATTACAATTTAAAAAATGAACACCTGTAACGGGCGAATCTGCCGTTGCTATTCGTTACTAAAACTGCAAGGTGCAACGCAGTCACAGTAGAGTGTCTTTATACTATGATAAACAAAAACTTGTGAAGTGAGATCAGTATGACATTCAAACTCTAGAGCATTGAATTTGAACTGAGAGTATTGAAGATTAAAGATATGCAAGGTCTCAGTTGAGGAAACTCAAAGGAGTCAGCAGGTTAGAAAATATATCATTTAAAAAAGACAAAAGGTTAAGACCAAAATATTCTGTTACCCCCAACCCCAACCCAGCCACCCTACCTACTTTGCAAGGGTGCACAATGTTCACATGTATACACATCCCTACGTGTCTAACTAGTACAGCTATACAGACAACCAAAAATGACCACTGATGTGAATGTGAGACAGTCAGGAAGCACCCCATCAAACTTGTCACCAAGCAATTCTTTCCAAAAATAATTCAAATCTCCATGAGATAAACCTTATCCCAACATTCAGTAAGGGAAGAAAAATCACTAAAATTCCAAAACAAGAATTAAATTAAGAAAAGAAACACTTGGGAAGAATTGACAAGCTACTTACTTTGCAAGGGTGCACTTTTTTTTCTTTTCTACAAATTGGTACGTGAAAGAGACACTCCTCTGCCCCACAAAAAGGAACTGTAAAAGGCAGACTAATGCATAGTTCTGAACAACCACAGAAAACAGAAAAAATACTAAATGTTGAATTTTTTGACAAAATGAAAGTGCGGACTTAAGAAAAAAATGAGGATCAGACCCGAAGCCATTACATGCTTCATCCCAAGGCAATACTGTATGCATATCAAATCAAAAACAACCATTTCAGTATACCAATTTATGTGACAAAGCAATATATTGTACGTGACATTCATTGTTACCGTGTTCATCCATTTAAGTCTTGAAATTTAGTGGAAGCAAAAGTGATTTGGAGGGGGGGGGGGAGATATTTACAAATTAAATACACTGATAAAAAAAAGCAAAAAATCTCATCAAGCACCAAAGACATTTTGAAAAGTGTGAGAGGGCAAAGTTAGCATGGTTATCATTCTGTGTGAACTGTCTATCCCATTAACCTGTGACTGAATGCTTATCAAGACGTAAACAGTTTTTCATATATTCGTGTATACAGCTTTACACAAAAAGGGACTAAAAAAAATAATTAAAAAAACTTTTAAAAAACAAAACAAAAGAAAAAACCATTTCCATCAGCAGCTAGCAAGTCAGAATGCTCCACAAAGCAGGTCAAACAAGAAGATTAGAAAAATCCCAGAAAGAAGAAAGAAGAAACAGGTACAGGGTATCACAATGCAGCCCACGAAAAATGGAGGCAAAGAAATGGAAATAGCTCCATATTTAGAAGACATAGCGGCCCAGCTAAACCTGTCACAGAAAGCTGGGTAGTCGGATATCTAACAAAATCATGCAAGTCAAACATCATCAAGTCTTTTCGCCCGTCTAAGAACAGAAAATGGCAATAACAAAAGTAAAAGAGAGCAGCGTGGGTATGGTTGTTGCTTTTTTTCACACCTCATCAGCCGAGAAAACGAGAAAAACTGGAATATGTTCAATGAGACATACTTCAAGTGAACATATTTTCCCAGTAAAAAAGTAAGTATACGGGGTTAGCACCGCAGTCAACACTATTAGCTTATTTAAGAGGCTGGACCCCCGAATTTAATATCTATCTCCGATAGGACCCCGCCAAAATGGGTCGAGAACCTTGAAAACTCCACAAAATGATCCGAGTTTTTAAAAAACCCAGTCTAGGATTCAAACCAGGGTCATCTGCTTCCTTGTCCATCATGATACTAACTGAGCTAACATAACACCCGCATGTCTTCCCATAAAGAAAGGCTGAGGGTACAAAGCAACACGCAGGAATAATCAGTGTTGTTTTAGTAGTCTCCTATTCACACACCAGCAGTTCCCATAATAACGGCCTGCTCTGGCCAGATCTGATATGTTTCAGGGTCACTAACATCTGACTACCGGTATTGAGTGAGACTTACAACAATCCAACAGGGCAATTATTTGTCTTCATGTCCATTTGTGTGGCATCGCGGTGAGGTGGGATGCTCATCATAATAATAATCTAAGAAACAGACAATTTTTTATGTCCATTTAAAAGTACATGTCTGTGTGGATTTTACGGAAAAACGTTGATCAAAAGCACAAAAAAAGTAAATATTTGCAGTTTCCAAGGGCTATCAAGCTCTGAAAGTCACCAAACTTAGACAACCATTTTCTCCTTAATATTACCTCCAACACCAAGCAATCCCACCTCCTTCAATCGTAAAAATCTCAACTTCTACTCAAGATTGAGACAGGTATTTTTACATTAAAAAAAGACAAATTAATAAACTTTAAGACTATAATATAAATGAATCCATTATATGCCCAAAAATAGACGAGCGCCTGATTCCATCATGTTGTGACACAAATAATACGTTCAAATATAATAATAAACTGAGACTCCACTTAAGACTGACAGTCAGAAAACAATTCACTACTCACAAACACGCTAAAAATAAACAAAAAAACCCAACAAAACACCAGGATCTGTCTTTTACGTGCAACACATAGGTTCAAACAGAGTGAAGGAATAATTTGCAAACCTTTCTCTCTTTTCACAATTGCAGAAAGCTATGTACAAAGAAGACAGGAATGTTTTCAAAACTCGGCACACTGCCAAGAAACTCAAACCATATAGCAAAGAAATAAAGGTAGGAGACGCTAGCAACATTTCCTCACCACTTTGATTGAAGCCATATATATTTTCTTTTTTTAAGACAGCCACTACATACCAAACATTAAGTCACTGCAATTTTCCTGCATACTCAAACATCCTCTTGGCTCTCAAGAGTAATAAAACCATCCTTACAAATTCTGTTGCTGACTCGGGACCTTTATTTAGGCCAAATCACTCAAGCGCTGAAACTGCGACAGAGGACACATTGAAACTGTGATTCACTCTCAGTCTGGTTTCACAAAATGACCATGTGCCCAGTTTTCATGCTCAAGAGAGGACAAATATGCCAGGAACTGACAGAACCTCAACATCTCCTTCATATAATTGTAACCAAATGTAAACTCTGTAGCAATCACACTACTGCAGTGCAACGACTTTTGAAGCATTTTTTAAAAACCATCTGACTTGGAATTAGAAAAATGCACCAGGAAAGAAAGCAATAATTTTTTTTTTAAACTTTCCCTGCTATCACAAAAATGTTGCCAATGGTAGACAGACCTTAAACAGGTTGTTTTTTTAATTTATCTCTCAGGAGCTGACAGAACCTCGATATCTTCTATTCTAAGACCACAAGCTACAAGTAAACACTTCCCCCGGTTGTAAAACTAACCTCAAAGACACCCTGGTTAAGAAAGACTAGATAACAAAATGTTTCGAAAAATATGTCACGCACACACAGATCCATCCCCACACAAATGATCAACATTGTCAAGTCACACACACACAGACTCCTGCACAAAAAATCAACACTATCAAGCCACACACAGCAAAGCTCATGATATCATGGTCAACACCAATGCAGTAGCAGCTAATAACAATATGTTCACTGCAACCACAGAGGCAGCTCCGCTAGTGAGGAATCAACACAATATCTGGCTGTCCTTCACGAGCACCTATTTATCCAGAACAGTATCCATGAGTCATATCCAGCTAAGTATCCATTCTTCATCCAGCACAGCATCCATGTATTATTCTACACAATATCCATGTTTTACCCAACACAGTTTTCATGTTTTATCCAGCACTGTCCAGCATAATATCCATGTTTCATCCGGCATAGTATCCAGTTGTCCCTTGTGCTGTACAAACACGTTTCATCCCATGGTGTTTCATCCAGTGCAATCTTCGACCATCACAGTCCAGCAAGCTGTTCCTTCTCCCCATGCCAGACACATTCACACCATCACAGTGACAATGGGACACATTCACACCATCAGAGTGACTATGGGACACATTCACACCATCAGAGTGACTATGGGACACATTCACACCATCAGAGTGACTATGAGACACATTCACACCATCAGAGTGACTATGGGAGTCAAAATTCAACAAACCAACTACATCTACTGGTTGTTGACTTAAAACCTTACTCCTCCTTTCTCTCTCCTTCTCTCTCACATAAACAGAAAAATAGGTTCAATCAACACTGGTGATGCTACCAAATCTGTTCAGAATTATTCATCTTCTGACACCCTATCTCTCTCTCTCTCTCTCTGCCAAAGAAACAAAAAAAAAATACTACTCCTTTCTAGCATTGTGACACATCATTAAGAATCTCACTGCCAATACTGATCTAGTCTTCTTTGAGTCCATTGAACAGAAAAACTGCCCCACAGACACTAACTAAAAAGCAGATGGGATCCCAAAATTCTCGATTGGGATAAAGAAAACGGGACTTCAGCCTACAAAATAAATAAAGCAATACCAAAAAAATTATACTGACATAGGGGGTGTACAACTTTGAAAGGTCCCAGGCATTCATTGCCACCAAAAGTGGCCCGCCGATCTTGTCAGGCAACGTTTGCCTTCCTTTTTTGCAACAAAGTGAGCAAGCTATCCACGAAAACCGTGCGCAATGTGTACATGGACCAGTGCGTGTGATCCCAAACTTATCATTTGAGTATGTATACGATAACGGGGTAAGAGTAAAAGGAAGTTCTGTATTCCTTCACAACCAGCATAAGACAGGGCAGTCATGAGGGGGTGAGTGGAGGGGGGGAGGGGGGGCATCGCCAGCCGGCCAGAGATGAGCATGCTACCTGACGCAGAGGAAACCTTTCACGTTGACTAGGAAAGAGTCAAAACTGGACCGGAAGGTGATTTTGTTCTGTCGTGAGATGGAGAGAGGTAATGTCGGAGGAGTGAGTTCGTTGAAAGCTTGAAGCAGGCGGGACTGGTATTCTTCTGGCTGCATCTGGATCAGTTCGTTGACTAAGTTTTTGTACAATTCCTGGGGGGGTAACAAAAATGTTTGTGTAAGTAAAGAGCAAAACATTGACACAATGATGATCAGTGAGTGTAGAGTTACAGTAAGACAGACAGACAGAAACAAAGGAAGGATACTAAAAAAAAAAAAGGAGAATCTATCAGTGGCGCTCTCTAAACACCTGCCTGAAAATTCACAATGCTATCAGGTCTGCTGGGGTAAAAATTGTAAAGTGCATAGAGCTTGCTGTTGAGCAGGAATCTACAAATGTTATTTATTATCATGCCGGGGATTCTTTTAAAAAATCTTTAAAAGCAGAAAAAAAAGGATTAACGTTAAAACTTCTTCAGCAGTGCCTGAACACTACGAATTCTCAATCCAGAAGTAGAGTTCATTCAGACATGTAGCGGAGTACAAAAGATACCTGACAAAGAACACTAAGCATTAAATTTATTATGAAAACAGCGACAGCAAAAATAAATCAAAGGAAAAAACCCCCCCAAAAAACCAAGAGCATACCCAGCAGCCAAAACACCTATGATCCCAGTTACAGTGAGGACAACACACACACACAGAGCAGATCTTTCCTTCTTAGTTCAAGTGTGAATTTTATGGCAATTTCCATTCAAATAGCCAAAGATTATAGGTGTTTTTTTTAGTAAGGTTTTATGGCGCTCGCAGCAGCATAAGGTCATATGGATTAAAAGTGTTACTAGAGAGAAACGTACAAAGAAAAGAAGGAGAAGAGATAAGGACGACAGGATGTTTGCGAGGAAAGAATGAGCAAACCACACCAGAATACCCACCAACCACTCACATGGTAATGTTTTACGATCCCC